CACACACACACTGAGACCAAGAGAACTTCCCCGGGAGGGAGGAAGCTGAAGGCAGGCAGGGAGTGCCCACTCAGTCCCATTCTGGACAGCATCAGTGCTCCTGGAGGGGTCACCACACTGTCCAGGGCCAAAGAAGCAGCAGAGTGGGCTGCAAGGGACCTGTTGACCTCTTCCCATGACTTGTTCAGCTCTTAGGAAAGATGGCAGCTCCAGTCAAGAGGAGCAAACTGAAGGTCCGCCTGTGAGGTGGAAGGACTGGGGCTAGTCTGCATTAAGCCATGTGTTGGCAGCCTGGGCCCCATCCTGCCCTGTGCTGAAATGCTGCTCCAGCCAAAGCTGGAAAGGTAGGACAACAGAGTCTTCTCCTACCCATGGCAAGCCCTCTCACTTGGCCTCCTTGAGACATGTCTATAGCCATGTTTCTCCAATCCTTTCACCGAGGAGAGCCCAGCATCCCTTGGATGAAGTTAAGGGGTGCTGCCTGGGGCGTTCCCTTCTCCTGTTACTCCCTTCAAGCATATTACAGAAACTCAACACTTCTACCCATCCCCTAGTCACAGGGATTAGCGGGTGCACTTGATGTTGATGGGTAGTTGCTAGGGCCAAGAGGCCCTCCTATGTGGTTGCTAGGGGTCTGGCATTGGGACGAGGGGTCTGCCCACTGCCGCGGTCACGGAGGGAATCACACAGTCACAAAGAGATTGTTCTTCTCAGTAATCTGCTCTCGGCCACCGGGAGCAGGCTGGAGCCCAGCAGGCCGGGGGCTGTGATCACAGAGCGTGCGAGCCCCGGGCTGGGGGCCAGCCCGGCCGGGAACACCAGGGACCAGCCCGCTAAGCTGCTTTCTCAGCAATTTCTCTCTCTGGATACAAAGGTGTTGACTTGTTTTAACATCTCCTGGGACTCCCCTTCTCCCTTTGTGTGGTCTTTATCCCCAATGAGGTTTGAGCCCCAGATTACAGGCGGGAATTAAGGCATTGGACTCAGGCAGCTCAGAACGGCATGACCTGCAGGATCAAGGAATATAAAGTAACCCTGTGTGTGTATGTGTGTGTGTGTGAAGGGGGGGGGTGGTGACCCCTTCAGTAACATCCATTCATTGCCCTGAGAAGGAGTGGCTGGCAGCAGGCAGCCAGCATGCAGGTGTGATGGAAGGGCTTCGGCTGGGGCTGAAACCTGGGGGAGGGGAGAGGCCTTAGGGCTGAGGGGTAGGGTCCAGCCCCCTTCCTCAACCTCCTTCCTGAAGGTTTCCAAATCTAGCTCAGGAATTAAACTCATTGCTGTCGAGCTGATTTCATCTCACAGACACCCTGTGAGGACTGTATCTATTTGAGCTGAGTCCATGTGAAAAGCCAGGGTGATACAGCCTCTGCCTTCCCTCTCCCCAGTGGGCAGTTGATGACACACCTGGGCAGTGACTTTCCTCCAGGGGCTGGAGTATTGGACGTCATGTATGAAACTCCTTCCACACTCCTGTCCTGTGGCTATGACACCTATGTTCGCTACTGGGATCTCCGCACCAGTGTCCGGTGAGTGTGCTGGTTGAAGGTAGAAAGGTGGTGGGAGCCCCACACGATTCTGATCCTCATTCAGGTCCAGAGTTGGCCCAATGGTGAGGGCAACTCCATGTCAGGGACTGGGGTGAGAAGAGCCAGCAAGATCTCATTATGCTTAGACACACTCCCTAATCCATGTGGGGCACCCAGGGGACTCCAGCCCACAAGCCCTAATGAGCTCTGGTATTCCAGCCCTCGGGCCTGTACTTCTGGAAGCCTTGAGAGTCTATGACATGCTGGAAGCCATGAGTGACACCAATGAGGGCAGAATCTGCCCTGTGACCTGGAGCTCCGTGCACAAGACCCCTTTTTGCAAGATGCTTTCTTGCTAGGCTTGCCTTTTTAAATAATCTGGTGATTCCAAGTTCTTTTTCCCAGCCCAGAGAGACTCTCTCTCCTCCCGGAAAAGCTTGGGTGGAGGTGGAGGCCGGCCCCAAACATCTCCTGCATCTCCTCTTCCTGGACAGGAAGTGTGTCATGGAGTGGGAGGAACCCCATGACAGCACCCTGTACTGCCTGCAGACAGATGGGAACCACCTGCTGGCCACAGGTTCCTCCTACTATGGTGTTGTGCGGCTGTGGGACCGACGCCAGAGGGGCTGTCTGCATGTAAGTGTTCCCCCACTCTATCCCACCAGCATGCCAAGATTCAGTATTATTATCAGGGGCTGCATCTTGAGAGTGGATAATAATGTGGCCAAGGAGTTGCTAGGAGGGGGCTGAGGGAAGCGACAGTGGCATTTGCCTGGTGAGCGTGGATCAGGGTTCTGCCATTTCCCACTTGGAAAGCTCTCACCACTTTCATGCCCTTCTTTCCAGGCCTTCCCACTGACGTCGACCCCCCTTAGCAGTCCTGTGTACTGCCTGCGTCTCACCACCAAGCATCTCTATGCTGCGCTGTCTTACAACCTTCATGTCTTGGACTTTCAAAACCCATGAAACCAGGGTGTCGGCCAAGGAGGCCACAACTCAGGGACCTCTCCTGCCTGGCGGGCACAGGATGCCCACTGCCTTGCTGTGCCTGTGCTTTGCACCTGTGTCACAGTGCATGGGGGCTTGTGGGTTACCCAGAATGGGGTCCCTCCTAGAGCTGGATGGAGAAAGGGGCCTGCTGCTTTGGGAAAGCCCAGTTGAGTCCAGGCTTTGTTTTGTGTTTGATGAGTGCAAAGATCTGGTCTCAGGAGCCTACCTTGCCCCCACCCTTCTGAGAGCAAACACCAGCTTACAGAGTGAGGCAGGGTCTCCAGACTGCCAGGTGGCCCCTTTTACCGTGTGAGAATAGGCAAGGCCCTACTGATAACCCGCTACTGGCACTGCCCTCCTACCTCCTCACTCAGACCCCACCTGTGACCACAATTTTGAGGCGGTGGCTCATCCCTGGGGCACTATGGCCTGGTTTTGCTTTGAATCCAAGGAAAAGACAAAAAGAACTCAGCAGTTTTTGAGTGAGTGCTGAGCCAGACCTACCTCAGGCCGGCTGTTGAAACATGCTATAATTTCCATTTTTGTAAAAATAAAGCTTGATTATTCACACAATTTGGTTCCTGACTCACTAGGCAGTCCTAGGAAGCCATAGGGAAGGGGAATGACAGACACAAAGTATGGGTTGTACCTGCTGCAGAAGGGATGGTACTAGACTCTGGCTCACTGCCCCAAAGAACAAAGGCTTCTTTCCAGGGAAACCTCTCGACAATCTGGTGGTGGAATGGGTGTCACCCATGGTGGTATGGAGAGAGGAACATGGAGGTTCTCCAGGCGGCCTACAATACTAAGCTGCTTCCCATCAGTTGTGACTCTCTTCTACCCCAGCACACTTGTCCCCTTAGTAATACTATGACCTTTGTTCTAACTTTTACTCAAAAGTGTTTTGTTTTAACATCCTGGACCTGTTTTCAAGGTTTCTACATATTCATCTTAGGGCATTCTGGGCCACTTCTGCCGGGGTCCTTTCCAGAATGGTCTTCCTATGAGTTTGGGAAGATACTCAGCACTTACTCTGCTACTGCTGAGTGCTTCTGTGTTCTTCTCCAACCAAGGCCTGTGCTCCTGTTAAACAAGGTTTGGGTGTAGGTCCCAGCTCTAACTCAGAATGGAAGACAGGGAAATGCCATAGCCAGCACCCCCCGCCCCAGAAGGCCAGTAGGAGCAGGGGCCAGGCAGCACATAGGACAAGAGGGAAGTCCAGTAATAATTGAGAATAATTTTACTCAGAAAATAAAACATAGTATGAGAGTACCATAGGGTCTGGTTCTTACAGAGACTCAAGAACTTCTACAAGAAAGGAAGCTGTCTTCCAGGCTGGGCAGGCCCAAGCCTCACAGCAGGAAGTGGCTTGCATACTTCAAGTCTGGAGGTCCAGCCTTGGGGGCTGGCTACTGTGTTTTGCAGTCCCCATCACTGTTGTGGGCCGTCTTTACTTTCTTCAGCTCCTTCTGTAGCTCTGACTCAGCTGCCAAGACCTCCTTTGGCTTCTGGTACTATAGATGGAGTCAAGAAGTAGTGACATAATTCAGCCACTGAACCTCTTCACACATACACACACTCATTTACTCATTCTCTCTCAGGACCCTTTCTATGTGGCTGGATGAGAGCTGACCTTGAATCAGAACCCAGACCTGTGCTATCACCCCATTCCCATCATTCTCTATCCCACTCCAGTTGTGAGTTATACAATTAGGCTCCTCTCTGAGCTTCTACCTTACTGTTCTCATCCCAAATGAGATACACATGTTCTCTAGAAGACATGCCCTAGAGGCTGAGGTCAGAACTGGGGAATTCTATGGAATGGGGAGTGGGTAGGAAAAGAGGAAGGTGTTCCCTTAAGCTAACAAAGTTGGTTGAATCTTACAGAGATGATCAGGGTGCAGTTGGCATGAGCAAAACTCAGGGAGGAATCGTCCAGAGGTAGCTGGTATCTGTCTAGGTCAGGAATGGAGAACTTCTTGTAGTACCTGTGGGAACACCAAGAGTCCATGGGGACACTCAGCAAGGTGACCCTAACAGGTAGGCATCAGGCCACCTGCCACCCAGCTTCTATACAGTCTCTCCATAGCCAGAAAGAGGGAAGCCAGAAGCTTGGTGGCCCTGAAAGAATGAAAAGTCTTCTGGCCACTCTTAACAGCAGAAGTACAGTAATTAGATCAGGGGTAAGAGTAGCTCAGACTTCAGGGATGGGACTCAAATAGGTGTAAGGCCCATGCCTCCCTTTAAACTTTGTATTCCTCCTGGAGTAGAGAGTCAGGATGCTTCTGTACCCCAAACCTCTTCGGAACAAAGAATAAGGGCATTCAAAGCTTTTCTTCAAAGCTAGGGACCTATACTTGCTTTTTATATTTCACTGGAGGCTTCAGCTACCACATCCTTTCTTGGGGTCTTTCAAGGCCTTGTCAGCCTGACTCAACTTACAGGCCCGAGAGAAAAGTGCATCTACAAGGAAACTGATAGGATGAACCATGTGTCTCACTGGGGAAGCTGTCTCTGAGGCTCTGCTGCTTTGCTGGGCCCTGAGCCCCTACTCTTCCTTTCTCACATCACACCCAGGTCCTGGCCTCTACAGGTGCCAGTCCAGAGATTAATGATCCCTTCTAATACCCAGATAGTAACACTTGGCCCATAATGTGTGTAACTGGGTTTTGTTTTGCAGGAAATCTGACCCCTTTTATCAAAGAGGAAACAGGCTCAGAGAGGTGAAATGTCTTGCCTGGTTTCACAGAGCTAGCTGTCAGTGGCTCAGGGATTAAAGGTCCCTGCGCCTAGTCCAGTACTAATTACACCAGAGCACAAAGAACAGCCCTTCATCTCTGACAGCAGCCCCATTTGCCATTTTCCTTGGTAGTAGAGCTGCAGTTCGGCCAGAGGCTTCCAGGCCTGTCACCTGAGCACAGCTTCGCTTTCCACAGCAGCAGTTGTGTGGGAAGGGACAAGCTGCAGGCAGGTACAAACAAACTCAAGTGAGGGGCCTGAAAAGGATGTGGCTTTTAATACTTCAGAGGGCCCTGGTCCTCCTTGCAACAGCTACTCTGAGTCCACTTCAAAAGCCCTGATGCCCCGGGGACTTGGATAGTTGACATAAATGCAGCACTTCTGCCACCGCCCCCCTTCTTGTCCAAATCCCTCAGCTCAGAGGAGCTCATAGGGCCCCGCTCCTCCCAGGTTCCCCACTCCCCCACCAAGGTGCTGGGACCCACAGCAGGAAAAGAATGTTTACTTAAAAGCTGACAGTTCAAAAGGAGGGGGGACGGGTATCCTAATGGCACCACAAGTTTGCTTTATTTTCCAAAGCTCTGCCCCAGGGAAAGGTGATCCATCTGCCTACAGACTAGGGGAGGAATGCCGGCCTCAGCCTCTTCCTACCCAGCCCAGGCTGAAGGTTCTTCCTGGGGCAGGGCTGGCCAGCAAAGGTGGCAGACACGGATAATAGAGGGGAGTCAAAGGTTAAACAACAGAGATTAGATGAACACAAAGGCTTGTTAGGAAGTGTTAACATCTTACCCACAAATATACACAAAAAGCAGAACGGTGAGAGAAGCAGCCAGACTTCAGCCCCAAGCGAATGGGAACTGTGTAAGGCCTTACCTCACCATGCAGAGCTTGGGAACATCCTTTTCCCTACCTGGCATGCATGCCAGACAGGAAGGGACATACCTGTGCAACCACAGAAGCAGTGACAAATCACACTTGTTAGGCTGGGGCAGTGGAAATGGAAAAAGAATCTCAGAGCTTGGCCTCAACACTACCAGAGACAGCATCAAAGGAAACTTGAGGTGCGCATTTGCCACATGTCCTTGTCATACTCTTTCCACTTTTCTTGAGATCAGAGGATGGCGAGGGTCCAGAGTTTAGCTCTGTTTAAGGGGTCGGTTCTAATTGAGTTTATTGGTGAGGCGAAGCAATTTTGCAGAGGTTCTCTGACAAGCAGTGCTCAAGGAGTACGGGGGCATCTCTACTCCCTCGGGCAGGCCCTCCCCTTTCTACCTCAATGCTCTGCTACTGGGCGGTTCCCCCTGAGGAGAAGTGACTTTGTCAACACCACCTAGAACTGAAAAGGATGCTAGGGATCTCCTGCGCTTCTGGAGAAGTTGGAACCTTCAACCTCAAACAATTCTAGGTCAACAGCAAACTTTAAGCTGTCAACCACCTTCCAGGCCTTAAGCTGCAAGGTGGGAAGGTAAAGAACAAGAAACAAAGTCCAAATCCATGCACTCCTGAGGGGTTCATGCTTAGTTGGCCTTGTGCTTCTGCTACGTACTAAACCCTTAGAGTAAGGTTTCCCAAGTTTCCTGCAGACACCCAACTTCTCCTTCCCCCATTCCTGCCACCCTTCACCATTCTGAGACTCAACTATATAATGAAAGATGACATTAGTAATGCTTATGCACTCCCAGGTACAATTCTAAACATATTTGATTTTCAAAATTCTCTCAAGTTGGTTTCTTCCTTTTTTTTTTTTTAAGGAATATTAACAGGAAAATGAGGCAGAGCAAAAGTTAGGTATCCTGTCTGAGTCAGATAAAATATGAAGAAGCCCCTATTTCAAGCAGTGATTCCCCAGATCTCCTGACTTCTCCATCTTTACAAAGGAGCATGTTACCTGGTCTAGACTTCTGCATCTATTCAAGGATGGGACAGAAACTGGAAGAGAATGGGGATTTCTGGACCCCATGAACTAGAGAAAAAGAATAACACACAAGTTGTTTCTCCTGAAATCCCTGGGCAAAGACCCCAGCACCCTGTAGGTGTCTAAGCAATCTCCCCAATCCATAATTGGCCTTTCTGAATACCAAGTCTTTTGGCAAGATTTATAGTGGAACTTGGCCCTGTGACCCTGGGCGGGCCACAGAACTTCTGTGCTTTGGTTTCTCCTTCAAATAAAGGAATTATACAAGATAAGTCTTTGGTTAATTATGTAAAGGCCCACACCACACCTACTCTATCTGTCCCTTTTTACACCAAATGCTGCTGTTGTGTGCTGTAGCATTGGAACCAACCCATGGCTGACCCTCCAGCAGGAAAATCTCCATCCGAGAAAATAGCAGGCAGATCTTCTTGGCCATCAAGGTTCTGGTAAGAGCGCAGTCAGCCTGCCTACAGCAGCCTCTCCTAGAGTCAACGCACACCTACTAACAGCTCAGAGTAGTCCTGCCAAAGAAAAGCCTGCTAATCCAGAAATCCCTGACATACTTGACCACAAAATCTTATTTTTTTCTAGTAATGCCTACTAATAGCTCCAAAGTGTGAATGTCAGTCACATCAGCTAAGTTTTCTTTAGACTCAGATTTCCAAAGAAGCATTTCAGGTCAGTTACTGTGCTCCATATTTCTATCTGTATCATTATATCATTCTTTAAACAATCTCTGAAGTAGGCTGCACATTCTGAGATGAATGAGGAAACTTCTCCCAAATAATACAACTAATTATGTTGTCGTGGTGGTGTACCAACAACTCAGAACTGACTCATAGCTGACGTCAGTGGGTTTTTAGAGGCAGTAAATCGCACAGGAAAAGACTGCCTATCCTCTGTGGAGCAGCTAGTGAATTAGAACTGTGTGTCTTTGGGATTGGAGCACAGCTGCTTATCTCTAGGCAGCGAGGGGTGGAGGGCAGATTTAACCCAACATCTTCCCTCTCCAACACTCTGGCTCATTCTACTTACAGCTGCTAACCAAAGATGAGAACAGATGTTCTCATGAGAATATGAGGTTAATCTCCTAGAAAACCTCCTAGAAAAGCACTTTCTTCATTCCATGATTCATCCTGAGGTCAAGGACACAACTGACCATTCAGTTCCCTCCAAAAAGAAGTCAACTGGTTCTTTGGATCAAGGTCAGTCCGGGCTGGGGATCTGTGGCTCTGGGTGGTGACCATGCTCAGAAGATCAGAACTTGGGCAGTTATGGAACCTCCAGGTGAAGAAACAGGTCAGACTAGAAATGCCACTGTGCAGAGGAACCTGGGTATGCCTGAGCACTGAGAGCAACCGTTACTAACATTCCCATCAACAGATCAAGTCAGCGCACTGCCTTCACAGATAGACCATTATATAACATGAAATAAAAAGATGGACTCGCACATCTTCAGAAGGGATGAAGGCCAGCGAACAGATTTTAAAATTCCCAGAAAGAGTTACCACCACTGAGAAGCAACAGCCATTAGGTTCTGTTTAATTAGTGGTAGTAAAGGTAGAGAACATAGTACTCATGGTAGGAAATTAAAAGACTAGGTTTAGAAAGGAGCCATTAAGGACTTCGAAGATTTTCTAGCCTACCTCCTAGCATAGAGCCTACAAGCTGAACCAGCCTAGGACACGGGGTCACAGCTTAATGGGGGCTCCAGAGTGAGGGCTCCTCTCCTGCCACCAGCCTTGTTCCTCCCAGGATACTATTCCCATCATTTCAAAACTGTCCCCCTGGAGGTGCTGGAGTGGGTCTCTACCCATGGAGTTCCTGGGCAACAGCGCCACCTACGGCTGGATATGTGCAGAAGATGGGACCCAGAGGATCTACTCGCAGATGAATTTTTTGGTGAGCTAGCAGTCTCTCTTCTCACTCCCCGGTAATCACATTTCTGCCTAATATCTGTATTCGACAGTGACCTCTGGGGGACAAAAGGGAGGCAGCAGCCAGCTCTGCAAACTGCTGGGCTGCAGATTCAAGTGCTATCAGAAGCACTTTTGTTCCCAGTTTGGACCCAGGGCTTCTTACACCAGGGAATGCTTGCTGAAGCACAGAGTTTGTTTTCCTAAAGGCAATTTCTCTGTTGTCTGAAATTGCTAAATTCCACTTTAGGCACTGACTCCTGTTAATGATGAGAACAATAACTGGAATAAACTGCCTTTTATCTGAGGGCTTCAAAGTGCTTTATAAACTCAAACCCTTATTATTATGACTTTGTATTTATAGACAAGGCCCACTGCAGGGGCAGCTGGCTGCATGTACAGCAATAACCCTGAAATTAATTCATTCATCTCCACCCCTACCCCTGTCCCCTTAACCTTGCCAAAGTGATGGGGTGTGGAAGTGAGGACTCAGAGCTGCACTTGGAGAGCTTGGGAGGCACACTGCTCCCCAGGAGGCCTCGAGGCCCTGAGGGAGATGGCAAGGCACTTATAAACCAGTAGTGAAGTGGGGTGCAACTCTGCATGGAGGGTGGCTTCACAGAAGTGGGCATAAAAGCTTCCTAATCTTCTTCACAGTATGTGCTACAGTCCCCTAGTGCAGGACCAGACCAGTTCATCTCAGAGCTGTTCTCTTCAGACCTCAAACAGGGCTCGGCCTTCTCCTATGATCAGTGTTCTGGGGATCAAAATAGGGTCAATGTATTTCCAAGATGATCAGTACAGAAACAGCCCTGCATCCTCCTTGTCAGCCATCTCTGTCCTGTCAACCTCCACATTTTGCCACTACTGTTTATGGACCACAGGAAGAGAGGACCAAAGGAAGGCTGAGTGCCCCTCTGGAACATAATGCAAGAGAGACTTCCAAGATGCCAAAGGACAAAGGGACCATTGTCCCTCTGCAAGAAGAGACTTGATTTACTGTGTCCCAGATCAGGGTTTTAAACTACCAGCTAAGACTTTCAACTAACACAGTTGTGCTTTCTGCCAGCTCTGACAGTGGTGCCACCAGGTCACCTTCACTAAAGACTGGATCCAGCCAAGGTCGCAAGGTCGCGATAACCTAATAAAAGAATCACCTTAACCTACAACCAGGAGAAGATAACATAGATGAATGGGATCTTCTAAGACTCAAATCCCTATGCACATCCAAAAACTTCTCCAGTAGGGTAAAAAGGGAAGCCACTGACTGGGAAAAAGTATTCGGTAATAACATATCAGATAAGGGACTTATATCCAGAATTTATGAAATACTTGAGCACCACAACAAGATAAAGGTAAAGAATCCAATAGAAAAATGGGCACAGGATATGAACAGGCACTTCACCGAAGATGACATTCAGATTGCTAACAAGCACATGAAGAAATGCTCAAAATCCCTAGCCCTAAGAGAGATGCAAATTAAAACAACTATGATATATCATCTCACCCCCGTCAAAATAGCAAAATTTAACAGAACAGCAAGCAACAAATGCTGGCGAGGTTGTGGAGAAACTGGAACCCTGATTCACTGTTGGTGGGAGTGTAAAATGGTGTAACCCCTGTGGAAAGCGGTATGGCGCTTTCTCAAAAAGTTGCAAATAGAGATACCATTTGACCCAGCAATTCTACTACTGGGAATATACCCTGAAGAGACCATAGCTGACATCCAAGCAGATATATGCACACCCATGTTTATTGCAGCTTTGTTCACAATAGCAAGGAGTTGGAAACAACCTAAGTGCCCATCAACAAACGAATGGCTAGAGAAGCTGTGGTATATTCGCACAATGGAATACTATGCTGCATTAAAAAATAAGGAACTCATGCAAAATTATTAAAAATGGTTGACTCTGGAGAACATTATGCTGAGTGAAATATCCCGGTCACAAAAGGACAAATATTACATGATGCCACTGTTGTAGAATGGGACTGCCCTTGACTGAGTAAGATGGGTTCAATAATGTATACTGCACTGAAACAGAGGAGGGAGAAAACTGTTTAAAAGAGATATATGACTAGGTATTTCTGTCATCACAGGAGTCTAGAGCGAGGGCTACATGGTGGAGGGGACCTGGGGGATTTGTAAAACAATGAAAGAATCCTTTCTTTTACTTTTCCATAATTTTTGACTCACGTACTTATAACTTGTTAGTCAAATTTGTGTCTTCTAGGTTGCAACACCCCCATGATACATCTTCAAGGATATGAACATGTACGGTCAAGCACAATCAATAAGAGTGCATCTAAATTCCAAAATCAATCTCCATAATAGTCTATGTGTTTCCTACTGCCAAAGGGGCCCTTTAGAATAGTGAGAGAAGATCTTCACCCTGAAACCCAAAGCGTCCCTTTTCAGCAGGAAGTAGCTAAGAGAATACGCCATCCCCTTTTCCTTATGAATCAGGGTGAAGTCTCTCTCAGGGAGGAGTGATAGGGAATGGCAAAGGACACACTGACAAAGGAGATTAATCAGAACTGACTTTGACAAGCACTGTGGCAATTGGACAATTAAAACAGACATTCGGATGGTGGGGAAGAAGAACAAACTGGGGAGGAGGGTGGAGAGAATGGTGCGGCAATGAAGGAGTGAAAGCCCAGAATTCCTGTGAATGTTCATTGAAACTAATAAAATTTAATAATAATAAAAAGAAGAAAAAGAAAAAAAAGAATCACCTTACATGCGCGCCCATGTTTATCGCAGCTTTGTTCACAATAGCAAGGAGTTGGAAACAACCTAAGTGCCCATCAACAAACGAATGGATGGAGAAGCTCTGGTATATTCACACAATGGAATACGCTGTATTGAAAAACAAGGAACTCATGCAGTATTATTCAAAATGGGCAACCCTGGAGGATATTATGCTGAGTGAACTATCTCGGTCACAAAAGGACAAATACTGCATGGTGCCACTGTTGTAAAACAGGACTGACCTCGGGGTTGGGGGAAGACTGAGAAAGATGGGTTCAATAATATATACTGTATTGAAACAGATGAAGGAGAAAACTGTTTAAAAGGGATATGTGACTAGGTATTTTTGTCATGATAGGAGTCCAGAGCAAAGGCTGCATAGTGGAGTGGACCTGGGGGGAGGGATTGTAAAACAGTGAAAGAATTTTTCTTTTACTTTTCCAAGAGGGTAGTGTACTAGGGGGGAGGGTTGGGAGGGGAGAAAAGTGCAACAGTGAATGAATGGAAATCCAAAGTCTCTATAAATTTTCATTGAAATTAATATTTAAAAAAAAGAATTACCTAAGATCACAAGTTAATGGCCATGTAGTCCTCTCAGTTCCCTTGTCATTTACTACTGGATGTGCTAGGGAGCTCTGGAGACCTAGTGGTAAAAAGCTGTGCTGTAATCCCAAAGGTACTTGGTTCAAATCCACCAGCTGCTCTGTTAGAGAAGGACAGGCAATCCCTACCTGTGTGATTAGCTGCCTATGAAAATCTGCCAGAGGGTCAGCTATGAGTTGGTTTCAACTCGACAGCACACAACAACATGTGCTGGGTCCTACAGCAAACACTTTATTCAAGTGGCAGTCCCTCACCTTGACAGAGCTAAATTCAAACTGGTCCTAGAAAGAGGAGAGGAGTCTCTTCAAGTTTTCAGTGCTTACTGGCGTTTAGTTCAGCGTGCCTTTCATCCTTCCTTAGACTTGGAGAGGGGGCTTCTCTGCACCATAAACAGAAGTCTGAGACCTAAGCCCAGACTGAAAATACGGTATCTACCTTGCTACTCACTTTTTGTTGGTTGTTCTGACAACAAGGCAGCGCTCCTTCTGGTCCACACACACACTGTAGGTCTCCTTAGGGTAGGGGAGGTTGCGAATCCGCCACTGGAAGCTCGTCTTGGTGTCCTTCCGCATGAAGATGGGCTACAAAAACAAGTCCAACTCAAGAACTATTCTCAGGAGAGACTATTCTACCTCCTCAAAGTTCCACCCAGTAGCCCAAAGGAGCTCGGAGACCCTTATTTCCTCTCCCCAGCTCCTTCTGATGCTTCAGTTGCTGTGATTTTTGTAGCCCTGGAGCCCATGCTCCTAGAAGATCAAGCCCAAACTCTCTGGATATTCATGTGGCAAATATTCATAAGGCAGTGTGTCCAGGAGATGACAACAAGACATGGTCCACAGACTCATGGGCCAGAAACCTACCCTCACCCTGTCCCCATTCCCTCAAGAACACCTTTACAGAGTAAACATACATTGGCATTGCTTTCCTTGATGAGTTCTGGCCCCAGGCTCCCTGCTCCTGGGGGTGCTGGGTCGCCCACCTCTATTTGCCATTGGCCCAAGGCTCCCAGGGCACTTTTCACACGCCATTTTCTCACTGGAGAAATAAGTAAACAATGGATTATGGGGAAGAAATGCATCCTGCTATTTTCTACTGAATCCTCAAAAACACATTAACTGGAACAGGATAGAAATGGGAGCTACAGGCCTTTACGTGGGGCTTTCACCAGCTAAGAATGGGACCTCTGCAGTCGCAGGACGACTTTTCAATACTGGATCCCTGCACAGCACAGTACACCTGCCCAGACACAAGACATTGGAGCAAAGCTCTAAGAGGACCAAGGGGCGTCAAGAACATTAACCAGGTGTGGCTCCAAGCAAAGGACAGAACAAGGGTTGGGAGAAGGATGACTACTGGTAGCGGGGAAATTTAAGATTCCCAAAAGTAAGAATTGAGGGTTTTGCTCATCTAAAAATATAATGACTTAAGAGAGTACAAACTGTCATGGAGGTTTGTCTTATGATAAAAACAATAACTAAAAAGCCCACAGAAATGCATTCAGTTTATGTATACTTGGCTTGAAACAAGTCAAATTAAACTACATTACATTTCCAATGCATTCTTTTTGGAAGTTCTAAGGTGATTTTTTTTTAAAGTGGACTCGCTCTTTTATTATGCAAATGCTCATTTCAGTTCTACCTGTGCCAAGTCAGCTGTTGGCAAGAGGTTTTTTAAGTTTTGTGTTGTCTGTGTGGTTTGTTGTTTGTTTTTTTTTAGTAAGTTATCAATCTAGAAATCATGAATATTCTAAATCAAGAAATTATTTCAGTAAGATGTTACTTGAAAACCCCTGCTGGAATTTTTAGGAACCTCACTTAGCCAAGTTGTGGTGACTTCCGTCGTCAAGGCAGTCTACCATCCCTATAGGGGTCTTTCTCATGCCCAGCAGTACCCCTTGTTTTGTCTTCCTGTAGCATTTGGAATCATTGGAGCTGCTGCTTGCCTCTGGGTCTTCTCCAGCATGGGCAACTGGTCAGTATATAGGCTCACAGCTTCCTGGTAGCTGTTTCAAAAACACCACTTACTACCATTAAGGCAATTCAGACTCCTGGCAACCCTCCATTGGGTTTCCCAAGAAGCAGCTGGTGGATTTGAATCACTGACTTTTCCCAACCTGTAATGTTTTCACACCACCAGGGTTCCTTTCCTGTAGCTGTTAGAAGGAACTTAACAACTCAAAAGGGACATGGTGTATCTTTTGTGGCAGTTGTTTCTGTTTGTTTCTTCTTCTTCGGGACTAGGATGTGATGGCTACAGTTTGGGCCTCAGCATCCAGGCAAATTGGTGGTTTACCTTCGAACCTTTTGAGCAGCTGTACTAAACCAAAACAGCCTCACTACCATCAGTAAGGCACGCAAGCTGAATACAAAGGATGCTGTAAAATTATAATTTCCCCTTGAATATGTGCTTTTTATAAGGTCTGTTGCATTCTGCAATGTGATTTTATTACGTCTTAGGGCCAAAAACTCTCCCTAGAAACACATTTCCAAGTTTATAATGAAAATTAATAAGGAAGAGTAAGACTTAGAAATATGCTTTATAGGCAACTTTTTTCCTCCTCACAAATACTTCTGCTCTCTTAAGTGAATGGACTGTGACCAGGAGTAAATCCAAATCTATTCATGTAATACCTCTCTTAACTAGAAGCCAGCCTTCTGGGAGTTTCTGTCACAAACTCAAAAGCATCAAATGCTTCCAAATAGCAGCTTATGGTGACAAGGATCCATGTACCTTACCCTAATGACAGGAAAAAAATCACTCCCAAATTCTCATCCATACATAGTTGACCCTATGAGTTGAATTTTATTCCCCCGAGGCAGGTAAGCTCTAGGTGGGGACAGTTCCCCTCAAGAGGCTCTGTGCCAGAACTACACAACACATGAGACTATTTAATGCAAGGCCAAGCATGCGCTCTTCAGACCGCAATATCATTGCAGGATAACAGAAGAGTCAGCACAGATTTTAAAGGGGGAGTCCCTTGAGAGAGTGTCTAGTCCAATGTCGGTATTTCTTAGATGAGGATTAGTGATTCTTTCTTGCCTAGTCTTCTTTGGCCCCTGACATAGTTTTCCAGCAGACAGAGTATGAAACATTCCTAAGACTCAATGGCAAGGAGTTGCTCTGCCAGCCTGAAGGCATGCAGCCGTTGACTCCAACTGTCCAGCATAACAATAACTTGCAAAAGCTACAGCTAAAGTCCAAATGTTTTGACTCTCAGTGCAGATTTTAAGACATTAGTAAAAGGCTAAATTGTATTCTGTGTGTTCAGTAAGCATATACAACATTTACAAAGGTTTCTGTGTTCTTAAAAGAGTAATTCTATTTCATATGTCTTTAAAGAAGGTTGCTTTGACTGCCTGAAAATAACTGAGGAATCTTAACAATCTGGAACCAAAAAGAGAGGTGTTCCTGTAATCTGAGCTCTGGTAAACTGAATGTCCTACAGCAAAGACCACATGTCCCAGTAGTCATTTTTGACTCTAGGGTTTCTTGTCAACTTATCTTCTCCAAGAAATGTTGGCTTTTCCATAGAAATCTTTCCAAGCACTATTCTCTCTAAGAAGGAAGACCAGCTACTGGTTTCCTTACTTCTGACCTCAAAACTACCTATGTATTAAGAACTTAACTGTTTCACTGTTAAAAAAAAAAAAAAAACACACCCCAAAAACCAACCTTGGCAATTAAAGCTTTTGTTAGAAAGAGAAAAGATCCACAAAATTATTTTGGTGAAGCCCTTGTTCTTTCTGTCACACACATGGACATGAACCCCCACCCCAGTACAAACACATACTCTGTCTTCACTTGTCTTTCTTGCCTTTGTTCCTGGACTCAAGGACAGCTCCTGCGGCAACAGAAGACTGCTTCCACCTGCTGTCACTCTGATTTGATTATACGTTAAACCCAAACTGGTGTGTGCAAGGCAGCTCCCCAGGACGCTGTCATCTCTTCCCAGCTAAGCCAGGGCCAGTCCTTGGAAAGGAGACTTTCAATGAACCTGTAAAGGGTCTGTCGGGGGCTATATGAAGGAGGCAGCGCCTGGGGGCTTTTCCCTAAGTCAGCAGGAAGCAAGATGATGTCCCAGACTGCTGAAAGGAGGCCCCATCTTTCAGGTGGGTTTGAAAGTGGAGGTCCTAAAGGCCTCTTTCCCCAAAGCTCCAAGCCCTGGCCCACTTCCAACGTGGATAATTACATTCCCCTTTCCTAAATACTCCCTGCAGCTTAGACTGGATGCAGGATTCTTCTTTTCTGCCCTAAAACACTGCAACATTGCTATGTGGCTATTAAACAGCTGCCACGTCCCATCCCTGAGGAGGCTGAAGGAATCGAGTGGGTCATTTATAAAGCCAGTGAAGTGCTTGGGGATGAAAGTGCTCAATATCCTCCAAATGCAGCCTGGGGTGGTTAGGCTGGCGGTCAAATACCAAAGCAGATTAGGCCAGTAATCCGAATGTAATCGCTGGGGGATGGCCTGCCCTTCAGCCTCTGCCCCCCTGGACACGCTGTGTTCTTGGGCTGGTTTGATGTTCCGATCATTGTTAGGAGGCCCTTGAGTTTTTTCCTCTATGAATACATACAGCATTCATTGAGGGAGCAGTGGTGGGAATGAATAGCTTTGAGAGGGCAGAAAAAAAAATATGACACTAACATGCTTATTAAGATCAACTGGACTAACTTTGTTCTAGACCGATGCACACCTATTGGCAATTCCTCTTCTGTAAATTACTACGTGAGTTTTTTTTTTTTCTAACAGAAAAGCAGTTGGCCAATTATCGAGTTTATATAATCAGCTGGAAAAAATGGCCTCTATTCCCACTGATTACCACCAACCCCCCCCTACGATTCTCTATATTTTTACTTGGCTGATTGCATGACCAAAAGGTAAGTTGATGATGGGCAGGAAAAGGCTCAGCCCCTTGGAAGGTGGGAGACCAGGAGTAGGGTCTTCCTCAGTGGCCTGTCTCTGTCGTGTACCAATCGGCCTCACTCAGGCCATTCTGGGGAGTAAACTTAGTAAGAAAATGAGATTTAAATATTCTCAACTCCCAAGGGTACATTAAACTCAAGGCAAAATAAAGCATGGACTCAATCAGACACACTTAGGCTTGACTTTTGCTCAGAAACTAAGCACTCTATGATTATGAATAAGGCATTTGGCTTCTTTGAGCCTCAGTTGTTTCCAACTGTAAAATGGAGACAAAAATACCTAACTCACAGGGCTGAAAAGAGGATAATTAGGTAAGAAAATTCACATAAAGCACTTAGCTTGATGCCAAATAAAAATGATATTCTTACTTATCATTATTTGGTAAATTTTAGCCAAACAGCATTCTCCGATGAACCTCCAAGTCTGTTGTTAAGAAAAAGGATTTTGAGGCTATCGACTATACCCTTCACCTGTCAACAGATGTGACAGGTTAATATGAAAGGGTGGGTACAGACTGCTACAGATGAAGGAACCGAGACTCGGTTTTTCATTTCATATCCAAGCACAACAAAGCAGCCTGGGTTTTGTTTGTTTGTTTTTACAGCCACAGTGACTAGAGGGTTTTATTTGCTCTTGCAGAGAAGAGAGGTAATGATGGGGCTGGGGAGAGGAGCAGAGTCTAGTCTCTGCCCTGATTATGGTGGTAGCTAGCCCACGTGACCTCTGCTTTCATAAGTTCTCCCCTGTTAGGCATTCCAAGGCTGTCACCCCCTGGGAGCGCTATAAATTACAATGCATTGTGAGGATATTACTACTGTATTGGTTTCCACCAAATCAGTGTCATATGCTAAACACATCAAGATTTTTAATAGCACCAGACTAAACCAATTGGGACTGGAGCCCAAGCAACTCATAATAAGAAGGGATCAACACTTCACTCTGTGACTGAACATGCGCAGGACACACATGGTAAGACTGGAGACTAAGAGAATGCAAACCAGTGTAATCCATGTTGTCGGTTCTAGACATTTATGAGCTGTCAGAAAAGGGGAAAAAGAAATTCCCTCACCAATACTACCTGTCGATCAGGCCCAGGAAGAAATTAAAGTCAAGAATAATGACAAGAAAATAACCCAGCCCATGATTCTATCATTGGTCTTAGCATTTCAGGTGGAACTTAATAAAGAGACCAACTCCCGCTGCTGACAGGTTTAGGCCCTGGGCCAAACAGCCAGGCACCCAGCTCTGGGAAGTCAAGTCAATGTTGATGTGCATACCTGGGAACAGAGAACAGACAAATCAAATCACTTCCAGGAATCTGGGCTGGAACCCCTTTGTTTGAGCCTATTCTTAGAGGAAAAGAGCCACAGGAATTAGAATGATAATGCTGCAAAATCACTGCTTTGCCCCCTATTCCCTGTGGTTCCAACATTCCGGGAGAAGCCCCATTTAAAAGGTGCCCCATTTTTCTCACTGCCTCTGGAACAGACAGGCATTATTCTTTATCAAGATCAAATGCTGCTGCCACTGATATTTGCTTGTTCCTGATGTGGTTTCAGAAAAACATGGGGAGTGAACAGGGGTTGGGGAATGGGGAGTAAAGGTGTCCTTACAGCTAACAGTCTTAAAAGGCTTAGTTTCCAATTCCACCTCCTCTGTGTAGTTTGTTTTTTGCATTTCCCCCAATTGTCTCTCTATATTTCCATTCCTATCTTATAAGAATTATTCAAGTTCTGAAATGGCTGGACACAGGGTGGGTTACTTGTCAGAAGTAAGACTCTAACACTAGACTTTCATATCCCCGTGTTAAACCCTGACCTCAGAATATATTCTCAGAAGCAATGTTGACTGGAGGGCATCCGTCTCCCCCAACTTCCACATTATGTGCTCAGATCCTCCCACAAACCTAAAGCGAGGAGTGTTTACCTGTGCTCAGGTCAGCCCCAATGGTTCATAAAAGGGTCCACTGGGAGCCTCAGTCACTTACCAAGTAGTTCACTCGTCTTTTCATCATATTCTTCAGCCATTTCTTTTCCATCTGGGAACAGATAATGCACCTTCCTTCTCCCTGTGCATAAAGCAGAAAAGTGCCTTACCTTTAAAGCCTCCTTCTGTCTTAACTCTTGCAGACCAAAGGGCCTACTGAGTAAAGACCAACCACATTGGGCATTTTGATAAATCCCATGAACTCCTTCCTAACACTAACCATTTATTTTAAGACAGAACCTAGGAAGGAACTGGATGGTGCCTGGCTATCAATGCTGACTATTTTTGATCAAAGATTCTACAGAAGAAGAGGAGAAAATACAGAACAACATTTCAAATTCTCAAGGAATCCAGACTTGCTGGATCCATGCAGGCTGGAAAAACTACTATCACCCTGAGAAAAGCCTTAAACCTTAAATAAAAAAGAAATATTCTTTGAAGTCTTCTTAAAGCCAAAGAATACAAAGTAGACTAAACGCACTGTGTCATGTTAGTTCCCACAGATGTTGCCCCTCCATTAAGTTTCCAAGGCTGTAAATCTTCATGAGAGAAGACTCTGTTATGGAGTAGCTGGTGGATTCAAACTGCCAACACACTGTACCACCAGGCCTCTTTAGCTTTTAAACCTTAAACCAAAAATACTTCCTAAAATCTAAAGACAAACAATAGTTTTGCTTAGCTAGTGATGAATGTCTTCCTGGGATATTATTTTCTCTAAAGAACTAGCTATATGGGATCAAATTGACAAGAGCAGCTTAAAAGATCAGACAGGAAGTTTAGGGACAGTGAGTGTGTCAATAGGAGAACTCTGAAAAGGAGAGTGATAATGTGCACAACTTAAAGAATGTGATGAGTGTCAATAATTGTACATGGAGAAATTTGAATTAATTTCTATTCTGCTGTCATATTCTCAACAATAAAAATAAAATACATCATTTTTAAAAATGTCTGAGGCTCACTTCCTTTCAGAAACTTTCTCCGAGCTGTCTTTGTTCCACTGTTTACTCTACACCAAAAGCTTCATACTTTTTCCCATCCATGAAACTCTTCCTTCTTCCAAAATTCATGCCAAATGTCACTTCCACTGGGAAGTCCTCATTAATTATCATGTTAAATCTCCCCAGCAAAATGCCTCACTTCCGTGTTTGTGTCTTCCTAGCATCTTATCTATGCACACTGTGATATATTTATTACTGTATGACAGTTTTAAAAGCATCTGCTTCCCCAGAAATGGTACCTTATTTATCTTTTCCTCGGTCCAAAACTTCAGAAATGCAAGCAAGGTCATGCCATCTGTATAGCACAGGTTGCTGATGAGTCTCCTCCAATTGTGATGGCACATTCTTCTTTATAAGTCCACTTTCTTGAATGATTTGCTCAGCATATAGATTGAAAGGGTTCTGAACTGATGCATACCTTCCGTGATTTTAAACCATGTGGTGCTCCCTTGCTCTATTCACACAATTCACATGAGCACAATTCAGTATTCTGGGATTCTCATTCTTCTCAGTTTTAGTCATATTTGTTGTGATCCACATAGTCAAATGCATTTGTGTGGTCAATAAAGCACAGACAGAGATCATTCTGGTAGCCTCTGCTTTCAGTCAAGATCCATCTGACTTCAGCTATGAAATCCCTAGTGTCACAACCTTTTCTAATTCAGTGTCACAACCTTTTCTAATTCTAATTTCTGGGAGTTCTGTAAATATATTGCTGTAGCCACTTTTTAATAATCGTCCACAAGATTTTGCTTGCATCTGATATTAATATTATTTGATATTCTTCTAGATCACCTTTTTTTTGGGAATGAAAACAAACACAGATCTCTTTCAGTCAGTTGGCCAAGTAGCTGTCTCCCAGATTTGTTGACACAGCTTGATGAGCACGTCCAGAACTGCATCTGTTTGCTGAAACATGTTAATTGCTATTCCATCAATTCCTGGGGCCTTATTTTTTGGCAGTGCCTGAGTGCAGCTTGAACTTCTTCTACTATCACCATTGGTTCCTGATCATAAGCTACTTACGAAAATGGTTCCATATCAACCAATTATTTTGGATACAGCGGTTCTACATATTCCTTCCATCTTCTTTTGATGATTCCTGGAAGCAGAAGACACAACCTTGCTTGCTGAAAGTGAGGAACACTTGAAGCACTTGCCAAGGAAGATCAAAGACAATCAATAACCTTCAATAGGGATTATATCTCAAGATCAAGAAAATAAAAATCCTCACCAGTTGGCCAAGAGGCAACATCATGATAGAAGGAGAAAAGATTGAAATTGTCAATGATTTCATCTTATTTGGATCCACAATCAACACCCTTGGTACTAGCAGTCAAAAAATGAAAAGACTATCACATTAGGAAAAATCTACTGTCAGAGACCTCTCCAAAGTGCTGAAAAGCAATGATGTTAGCTCAGAGACAAAGATATGCCTGGTCCAAGCCATGGCCTTTCTGATTTGCACATGAAAGTTGGACAAGGACTAGGAAGGACAGAAGAATAGCCTGTGAGTTGTGATGCTGGAAGACAGTTCTGAATATCCCATGTACTCCCATAAGAACAAATGTCTGTCTTAGAGATAGTGTGACCATGGTGTCCCATGGAAACAAGGATAGTAAAGTTTCATTTTACATACTTTGGGCATGTTGTTAGAAAGAGTCAGTCCAGGGAGCTCTGGTGGCCTAGTGGCAAGAAGCTGCACTGCAATCCCAGAGGTATGCGGTTCAAATCCACCAGATGCTCTGCTGGAGAAGGAGGGGGCAATCTCCTCCTGTACCAGTCAGATCTGATTTGACAGTACACGTAAAAAGTAATACAATAAAAATAAAGGAAAAAAAAAAAGAAAGAGTCAGTCCTTCAAGAGTGACCTAAATTTAAATATGCTGGGAAAAGTGGAGGATCAACATAGGGGAGGAGGTCCCTCAACACGATGAAGTGACGTGGTGACTGTAACATGGGCTCAATTATACCAGAGATGGTGAAGATGGCACAGGAGAGGGCAAGGTTCGGATCTGTTGTTCATTGGGTCGCTATGAGTAGAAGAAGACTCGATCACACTTAGCCACAACAACAACAGTTCAAAAACACTGGCTGATGTGCTCAGTAGACTGAACTGGCCAAACCCCTGCTCTGAGTTCATATGTATGTCTTTAGCTCACTCTTACCACATAGTCATACAAAGTTAGTTCCCATGTATTTGTGGCATTTCCTTTGCTAAGTGTTACTTATCATGATATTTTCACACTTAACTGTGAGATTTTTTTTATTATAGCTTGTCTTTTCTAGGGAGTTCTTTTCTTGTCCAATTCATATTCATGGCCAGAGTTGTTTTATTTTATGTTCTGGAAAAACTAACCCTCAAAATGTGTCAGGAGGTCTCTTACCAGGCCTCCTAGGTCCTATCACCCTAAATCATTCAAATGTCTCAAAGGATAAGGAAAAGGTCTTCCTATCAGGAGTAGGGTATAAGTTCAACCTCTGATAGCTGAGGGGGTCAGGTCTACAGTCTAGTTCTGAGCCAAGCAGGATGCAGGGCTTGCTATCTGCTAGGCACTTTACATGCTTTATCATCTTTCATTCTCACAGAAGTTTCTTATGCTCCCATTACCTGTAAACTGAGGCTTAAAAGTCATTAACTTTTTCAAGATCCTAAAGCTAGCAAATAGCAAATCTGAGCTTAAACTTATCTGAGGCTCTAACAACCACACTATTCTGTGTGGCTTTAAATAACAGGTTCAAGGTTTACTGGCTATATTTCTATGAATTACCAGTTCATGCCCTAGCCTACTTTATTTGGATAATCAGCTATTTCTTATTGATCTAATTGGACTTTGTATATACTAATCATGTTCATCTATATTGCAAATATTATTTCAACTGTCTTTGCTTAAAGTTGGTTTCCTCAAACAGGTGTTTAATTTTATTCAGTCAGATACTTTTTTTCCTGTGTGGCTACTGCCCTGAAAGTTTTGAAATATTTGAGTAAAAAAGGTAATACTTATCCTTTATTTTCAGGAGCTCTGGTTGCCTAGTGATTAAGGCGTTACATTGCCAACTCAAAGACAATTTCAAGGTCTAAAGTACAATGTTTTAAGAGGTAAGATACTCTCCATATGTATGTAAGAGCTGTTAATACGACCATTATTTAAATATATGAAGCAACAACTCAAGTTAAAGAGGAGAAAGTTGAGGGTTTCTACAAACATTTACACTCTGAAATTGACCAACTGCAATTAAAATATATTAATAATTAATGATGACGGAGCGCAAAAGTCAGGAACAATGAGGAAGAAACAGTAGTTAGAAAGTACAGTTCTCGGTGCCAGAAATGAGGCTGAAGAGTGAAGGGCTCAATTTCATACATTTAATGATTTATTCATAGCAAATACCTTTTTCAAAAACACAAAAGGCAACATGGGCCTCACCTGATGGACTACACAGAAATCAGTCTGACTGCATTTGTGGAAAGAATAACTGGAGAAACTCAGTATCAGCAGTTAAAACCAACCAGCTTCTGACCGTGGAACAGACCACCAATTACTCATGTGCAAGTTCAAAATGAAGCTGAAGAAAGTCTGCAGTTAGGGACCTCTCCAAATTAATGAGAAGTAATGATGTCAGTTTGAAGACTAAAGTGTGTCTGAATCTGGCCATGGTCCTTCTGATCACTTGTGTATCTGAGAGCTGGACGATGAATCAGGATGACTGAAGAAGAATTGATGAGGCTCAACGTCAAGAAAAGAAAGATTCTCACCACTGGGCCAACTGGCAGCATCAGTATGGATGGTGAAGAGATTGAGATAGTTAACAGTTTTCGTTTGCTTGGTTCCACAATCAACACTCTTGGTAGCAGCAGCGAGGAAATCAAGAGATGAATTGCACTGGGAAAGTGAGCTGTGAGGGAACTCTCAAGAGTACTGAAGAGCAATTGACATCAGGCTGGAGACAAAGGTGCGCCTGATCCAGGTTTTAGTCTTCGCAATTACGTGCTATGCATCAGAGAGGTGGACAGTGAATAGGAATGATAGAAGGAGAA